AAAAACCAGATCAGACCTGCAGACCAGACCAAACCAGCAAATTACAGTCCAAGTAAAAACATCCTTACTTACCAGGTTTACAATGTCAAGGAGAACTAATTTAACGACCAGACAACTTTTAACTCAGATAGACAAAAAAGAGGCAACATGTCTCACTGAGTCTGCTATTTCCAAATTTATTTGGTTTCCAAATTGAGTATATATGTGTAATAAGGCCATCATGTATAAGTTATAACTCAAAAATCTATGTTTTTATATTTTGGGAGGTTTTCACAAATTAGATGATGCCATACTGTTTACAATATGTTTAATGAAGAAAGTTGGAACAAGATTTCACAATTTATATTTTGTTAAACATGTACTCAAATGACATTGTTGATTATATATGCTCAAATAAAAAGGACATTTAAGTTTATTTTAAAATTAAGTTGGGTTTTAGAACTTAATATAAGTTGGATTCGCATCAAAGGTTTGCCTTTTTAAATTATAATTATTCATACAAAAGAATTTGGTAAAAAAAAATGATGTATACTAATTAATAAAAGTAAGGTTTTAATTGAAAAAATTGCAAGGTAAATATATCGATAGTGTTGGGTGGTAGGAAGAAACTAAATTAAGTGAATGAATACGTATAAAGTGGTGGAGAATTGAATTTATTGAGAGAGTGAGTTCGGTTAGCCTAATGTATTGATGTTTAAGGTAGTATAAAAAAGAGAGAATTCCCTAAATAGGAGTAAAAATGTTTTGAAATTCCAAAATAGGAGTATCATATTTTTTATTCCCTGAATAGGAATAAATTTTTGACAAATTTGACAGGAATAAATTTTTGACAAATTTGACATTACAGGGCTTTAAACATGGCATATTCTCCCTTCACAATAATATTTATTTGGATTTATCTGTCTGAGGAAGCAAACGAATAAGAATGAGAATTGTGGATTTCGAGAAAGTTAAAAACAGGTTGTCAATCAGTTGTGTTTAACACATTTAAAACGAATGGGATTTGTATTTAAAAATAATGTTGGAACCAATTGTTATTCGTATCAATAAAATTTATTTTTATTAAATAAAAACAGACTAAGTAGTAGTATTAATAATATTAACAAAATGTGATACGGAGTATAAAAGTAGTTAACAAATAAAACAAATTAAATCTATGCCCTTAAAAGCAATTTAACAAATTATCACCCGATTGTAATCAGCCGTTTAACCAAACGTTGGCGTCGTTTGGATATTGGCGTTTCCGGCGGCCCTATGTTTAAAAAACCGACCCAACCCGGCCGGGTTGACCCGGAACCCGGTGACCCAGACAAAAAACCGGTTCGGTTTTTTCAAAACCCGGAAATGGTCAAAAACTGGAAAAACTCGGCTGACGCGGGAAAACCCGGTCAAGACCCGGACCCAAGAAACCCGAAAAACCCGGTAAAACCCAGTTTTTGGGTGTTTTTACCAAAAAAAGTAATTTCTTTTTTATACGTAATATACGTAATATATTTATATATTTATTTAAGAATGAACATCATGCCAAATTATAATCTAGATGTACAATAAAAATAAAAATATCATTATATATTTTTATAAGATCAAAATATACATTGAAATATTATAAGAGTGTATTAAATGCTTAATAAGTAGTATTGTTAGTTGATTATTATGAATAATAACTAATTTTTATTATAATTTTATAAATAATTATATGTTTACCATTATTATATAGACGTATAATCATTGACCGGTTTTCCGGCATTGACCGGGTTGACCCACCGGGTCCGGGTTGACCCGTGACCCAGTCATGTGGCCGGGTCACTCTCCGGTCCGGTTTTTACAACATATAGGTTTCCGCCAAATATCAGCGTGTTTGACCGTGTTAGCGTATTGGACCATAGAAATCGCTGTTTTTTTTTCTGTTTGGCAAACAGAGGTTGGCATTGGCGTTTGGGGCGAAACCTCCAAAATTGAAGACGCTGCTAATCCTAGCATTTCAATTTTAGCGGTATACGGGTTAAAACAATCCCCTAGAGCATGGTTCGGGAGGTTTTCAGCCTTTATGAAGAAGAGTGGATACAAGCAGAGTGATGCTGACCATACACTCTTTGTAAGAAGACAACAGAGGAGCATAACGGCCTTGATTGTATACGTTGATGATATGGTAGTTACAGGAAATGATTCCAAAGAAATGGCGATTCTCCAGAAGGTACTAGCAGCAGAATTTGAACTAAAAGACCTTGGGAACCTAAAATATTTCCTAGGTATAGAAGTCGTTAGATCAAAACAAGGGATATCCATGTGCCAACGGAAATATGTGTTGGACCTTCTAACTGAGACAGGTATGCTTGACTGTCGGCCAGCTGATACCCCAATAGAAGTAAATCATAGATTGATGATACATCCTGATCAAGTCCCAACAAATAAGGAGAGGTATCAACGGCTAGTTGGGAAATTGATTTACCTATCACACACTCGACCGGACCTAGCCTATGCAGTTAGCGTGGTAAGCCGATTTATGCATGCACCGAGTGAAGATCACATGGAAGCCGTGTACAGGATACTAAGGTACCTAAAGGCTTCTCCAGGGAAAGGTATATTCTTTGGAAAAAACCGAAGTATGGGGGTTAGCGGATACACAGATGCGGATTGGGCTGGAGATGAAACTGATGGAAAATCAACGTCAGGGTACTTCACATTCTTTGGAGGCAATCTGGTCACGTGGAGAAGTAAAAAACAGAAGGTCGTTGCCAGGTCAAGTGCAGAATCAGAACTTCGGGGAATGGTACACGGTGTCTGTGAACTACTATGGATAAAAGGTATATTAACAGACCTTGGGATTAGGCTAACACATCCAATGAAACTAAATTGTGATAACCAGGCAGCAGTGAAGATAGCAAATAACCCTGTTCATCATGAGAGGACGAAGCATGTGGAGGTTGATCGTCATTTTATTAAGGATCATCTTGAGAAAGGAACAATTGAACTTCAGTTGGTTCCTTCAAAAGACCAACTGGCAGATGTCTTAACCAAGGCAGTATGCGGAAGGATCTTTCATAGCTCTCTTGACAAGCTGGGAATGATAGATATCCATTCTCCACCTTGAGGGGGAGTGTTGACGAGAGCTGATCTTACGCGATTGCCCTATACAATTCTTTTTTTAATGATTGATTTACATTCCTTAGATAGAAGAAAATTAGTTTCTAGGAAATATTCTGTTTCCATATTTTTCCTGTGTGCTCTTGTATATATTAGCTTTATCAATTGAAAGATGATATACGATTTATTGGAGAAAAGTCTCTGTACAACAAATACTATCCACTAATCAAAACAGCTAACAGAATCTGCTGTCACCAATCAGCCAACAAAATCGGCCAATAGCCATTAGCCATTAGCCAATTGCCAAACACTAGCATTTGGCAATGTCTCTATTTGATAATGGAGCAGCGAGCAGCAGTGATTATGCGGAATTTTATTTTCGAAACAAAGTGTACATTGCATATCCATTGCATAAGATCATTATAACAGAGCAAGAAGTGAATATTACGGAGTAATAAATTATGGCTTATATACTAGCAGTGCAATAATCTTTTTATCGGCCAAAATAAGTGGGAGCCTCTATTAGCAAGCTTTCCCAAAATACTCTTTTGAAATACTCCAGTAATATGATTATATGAAAAAGAAAGAGATGGAAGGAAATAATTCAATAGAGAGAAATATCTCAATATATATTCCCTCCGTCCCATTTTACCTGTCCTACTTTCCTTTTTGGGTTGTCCCAAAATAAGTGTCTCATTTCCCTTTTTGGAAAGAAATATGTGGTCTACACTATTTCACTTTATTATACTCAAACGTCAACCAAAACCTTTACTTTTTCAACCACTTCATTAATAATCGTGTCAAGTCAAACTAAGACTCATAAAATGGGATAGATGTAGTAGTACTTTCCATTCTTTTTTAGTTGCAACAGTCAATTTTGCACATTTGCCAACGCACGCCTTTGACCATCAATATCTATTATTCTCATTAGTAAAAAAAATTAAAAAATAGATTTTGAAAATGTGTAATGAGACAAATTGAACAACATTTTAAAAAAATTATTATAAATTAATAAATAAAATGTAGTCAAAGGTAAGTACGTGAATAGTCTAAAATTCAACATGTTACAACTAAAAAAGAACATATAGTACTTCACATATGGCAGTGCCGGTCTACTTTGAGTGCAAAGGTAAAGAAGCTCCGTTTATGATTAGTTAGGCGGCAGATTTCTACAAAATCTACAAAATTATAAGCAAGAATCATGGTAAGGATATTTTGGGTAGTAAAAATTTGTTGGTGGTACATCACAGCTTAGAACACATATACCGGGTGCTTCAATCATTGTACTCTCTTATTCGTATCCCTGTCAACAAACGACTGCCGTTCGTTAATTCTCATCCGCTCCGTCATCTGAAAGGTCTTCCGTTCCTCATCATTCAACCCATTTCACCATATCATTTAGGTCAAAAGTGAGATTTGAACCCACTTCTTCTCCGGCGAAAAGATATCTACAAACTCTCCTCGGCTCTCATGTTCCCCGCATCTTCTCCCCCCCAACGTAAATTTTTTTTGGTATTAATTAATACTACGTATAGTCCTTCTCAGAGTGATAGGTATAGGGGTCTCGCGAATCGGGCGACTCACAAGGAGTCCGTCAACAACACCGGCGATTTAACTGAGACCACACCGGCTGGAGCAGGGACTTCAATACCGTCACCACAGCTCTAGGTGGGAGTGAACAACAACGCTCAGATGGGACCAGAGGCATCCAAGTTCAAAATTAAATCTACCATGGCGATGGTGTTACGGCTGGGACTGAAACAGGTGGACAACCCTTCGAACGAGAACTAGATGGGACCTCATCTAATACACCTATCCTGAGATGGCAACATGACTCCAACAGATACATGCAAGTCTGGGAACGATGACCTGCAGTTCACCGATCGAGGAACGACGGCTGCTTGCGAAACGCAGCTGCAAACCATCGTTTCTGGCGACCAGCAGGGGAACGACTCTGGATTACCTCCTCTACTCAAACACGATGCAAGGCAGATTGTGGGCTGTGGAGAAACGAGGCTCAAGACCAGAGACTCAACTGGAACATTGGAGATGATAGAGGACTTTGGTAGTCGTCCAAAGCTACTGGCATGAGCAGTGGAAGGTGGTCAGGGTTGTCCATTGTTGCTGGGAGGAACAAAGATGTAGGTAAATCGGAGGGAGATTTCACCAAACTGCAGAAATGGTCTAATTTGCAGAAAGATTTTTTCTATTCTGCTCAGGGAACTCGGGTGCAAGGAACAAGTAAGAGTAGAATTGTTAAAATCGAAAGTAAAGCCTTTTGTTTTGAATTCATACCCACTGGTCTGCATATTATTCAAAACAAAAACAATCACAGTCTATCTATTTCTCTTGATGTTAATGGTGTTAATTGGCTTTGCTCTTCATTTGATAAAATCCAATCTGGACGGTCTCATACGAAACAAAGATACGAGGAGTCTTGAAAACTCCAACTTTCCTTGGAAGATATCAGTATGGGGGTTTTATCCGCTTGGTTGATTCGGGACCAATGGGAAGAACAACAACCATTATTCCAGAAGGTTGGAACGGTTCAGGTTTTAGACGCTTTTACCTTGCTTTATTAGACCAGCATATCTTGATGAATGATTTCACGAAAGAAGATCATGATTTGGATTTGGAGGAACTCGGTCCTTTTGTTGTGTGTGTTAATTACATGGTGTCTTTTCTGGTGCCCTTTGAATCTATTTCTTCACTACTTTTCAATGAGGACTTACATAATTTTGGTTACTTATCTAATACAGATATTAGATTCATCTCTTTATTGACTGTGGCTGATCCGGGGAACTTTTTGATGGAAACGATTGAGAAACAATGTAACCATGAGGTTGGTTTTCAGGATTTTTCACAAGGATGCATTACCGTTGGAACCGAGGTTATGGATATATATATTCACATGGTATTGTTGATTCATCGCCTATTCAAGTATCCTTGCCAAGTACACTACCCGTAGTTGAGGGAGGGTTATTTTCTTCAGCCTCTGTCGAGTTAGGTGAAGATCTTGAAGCTACTCCTGTTTGACGGTTGCTTATCGATAGAGACCCACTTGACAGATTATCCAATTTTGATGGGAGACTTTCCAACTATGCGCTTATACCTAGGAGGAGTGCATGTCTTAAAGCAAAAAAAGTAGTTGTGAGATTAGGTTTGTCTTAATTATCTTTGAGTTCGTTAGAAGATTGTATTGGGCGATTAGGATTGCTTTTCTCTTCGGGTTGCAGTGATTTGGGATTTGGAGCGTAGGCTTGCTTTTCTTCCCACTTGGACTTCATTGCTCAATTTCAATTCCCTCACCAATGTCAGCTTTGTTTAGTCTCATTTGTTTTTTCCTTAAGTAGTGCTTGTACTCTCTTTCATGTTTACTTAATAAAACATACTCTGTATTTAATTTTGTTTTTAAAAAAAAAAGAAAAAAAAAATATTATATTCAACTAAAAAACCGGTTGTACCTCAGTTCTCTTATTCTCTCCACCTCATGTGCAGGGTAGGTTACGGCAATCGAAGAGGCCCTCTCACCTCCAATCGCCACGTTGTTCAGTTATGAATATGTTTTCGGCTTTTGGTAGATGTCCTCTTCTGCTGCTCAACACTTTTCTTCTGGTAAACCTTGGGCCCAAAACGCCATTATCATTTGTTTTTCGCTTTCTCTGTTCACCTTTGTTTGAAAAGCATTGGGCTGAATACTACCTGGGAAACAATAGTCCATACTTATATAAAGTTTTGATGCCTACAGTAATAGAAAAATTGAGAATCTCACTTTTACATTGTAATCCATGTGATCCCTTTTCTTTGATTTGTTATTAGTAATCCATGGTATAGAATATGTATGTATGTGAGAATACAATTAGAGCTCATTAACAACGGGATGTTTGATTTATCAGGAGTTTCAAATTTGCATCTCTCTTCATCTACATAGCCGCTTCAACTTTGCAGTAACTGTCCATTCTTCTCTTTGCACACTCCTCAGGAGACAAAAGTCATGTGCTACATACATGGAGCACAAAACAATGGTCTCGTATATGAATCCTTTAGAGTTAAAACATAGCATTGGATCAATTTAGCACTTCATTTAAGAATGCTCATTCTTAGAAATTAGAATGTATTTATCCGTCTCTTAACACTTCTGGTCTACTTGCCGTTAGTTGGCTGGAAGTAGCTAATCAAAGTGAGAATGAAAGCTGCCGGAGAAGGATGGAACAGATTGCCATCACCTTCGTTTCCATTTCATGGGAGCTGCAGCTTCCCTTTTACTATCATTAAACTACGATCGATTATGATCAGAAAAAAACAACCTTGTTTTAAGAAGTTGTTGTACTGGCTTAGGGCTACTGACTTTCCCACTTACTGTTATTCGGCCTGGCTGCACGGAGCTGCTAATTTTCTTCCCTACGTGAGCACATATAGTTCGCCAAGGTGAATAGGTTGGATGGACGGCGATGAACTTGAAGCTTGACACTATGGTGATGGCATTCTTCACACGCTCCCACCTCTTCCGGCAACCTCTGCTCTTTCTCTTATCTTTCTTGTTTCAGCTCTCTGACGGTGAGTTCAAATACTAACAGATGACAAACGGATGGGGTGCAAAATTTAAAGTTTTTCAAAATGGGGTCTAAGCTCCAATTCAACTCACAAAAGAGGGTGCAAAGTAAAATTGTCCCATTATTAATAATATCTCTTGCACTGTAGAAGTGCAGATATATCTCCATAATTGTATACAAGGTGTGTTATATCTGATTATGGTTATTTATATGATGTTGTATGAGCTCTTATCATTTACTTTATATCACAATATATTAGCGTACGTGCCTTGTCCATCTCTTTGACAAAAATAAACTTTAGATTTCCCAGCTTTAAGGCAAGAGCACACTTGTATAGTTGTATAGCTTATTCAATGCCTTCTGTTGAGAAGCCAGTGTATCTCATTCTATTGCACTTGCTATTACTTAACAAACAATGAGTAGGTTCTATTATTATGTTGCCTGTATAGTGAAAATCGTAGTAAAATTGGCTCAAGGGTGAATGAGTATATTAAGAGTAGAAATGAGACCACTATGGTGCTATGAATGTTTTTCATTTTTTCCTAAAAGATTCACACAGTACATACATAGGAAATCGATACTATATACTACTTTTTATAGGGTAAAACATATCGGGCATTTATCCTATCGCACATTAGAAATTGGTACTAGCTATATATTCCGTACTTTTAAGAAAGTAATTCATATTGGGCATTTATCCAACCGCGCAACGCGCGTAAGAAAACTAGTCCCAAAATAAGGTTAAATGGAGTTTGGAATTCTAAAATAGGACTATGTTTTTGTTCCCGAAATGAGACTAACATGACAGTATTTATTGTTATCTTGTAGACGTGATTGTCAAATAGTTGCAGTACAGTGCATTTAACATGCCAATAAAACCTCCATGAAATCGGAGTGAAAAAACAGACAAAATTGAAACTTGTACTACAAGTGATGACAAAATATGAACTCATGTGTACACATAGGCAGGATTTGAAAATTACATCACCTGTTCTCATTTTAAGAGGGGTTCTCACTAGAACCCTCCCCTGTGTGTGTGTGTGTGTGTGTGTGTGTGTGTGTGTGTGTGTGTGTGTGTGTGTGTGTGTGTGTGTGTGTGTGTGTGTGTGTGTGTGTGTGTGTGTGTGTGTGTGTGTGTGTGTGTGTGTGTGTGTGTGTGTGTGTGTGTGTGTGTGTGTGTGTGTGTGTGTGTGTGTGTGTGTGTGTGTGTGTGTGTGTGTGTGTGTGTGTGTGTGTGTGTGTGTGTGTGTGTGTGTGTGTGTGTGTGTGTGTGTGTGTGTGTGTGTGTGTGTGTGTGTGTGTGTGTGTGTGTGTGTGTGTGTGTGTGTGTGTGTGTGTGTGTGTGTGTGTGTGTGTGTGTGTGTGTGTGTGTGTGTGTGTGTGTGTGTGTGTGTGTGTGTGTGTGTGTGTGTGTGTGTGTGTGTGTGTGTGTGTGTGTGTGTGTGTGTGTGTGTGTGTGTGTGTGTGTGTGTGTGTGTGTGTGTGTGTGTGTGTGTGTGTGTGTGTGTGTGTGTGTGTGTGTGTGTGTGTGTGTGTGTGTGTGTGTGTGTGTGTGTGTGTGTGTGTGTGTGTGTGTGTGTGTGTGTGTGTGTGTGTGTGTGTGTGTGTGTGTGTGTGTGTGTGTGTGTGTGTGTGTGTGTGTGTGTGTGTGTGTGTGTGTGTGTGTGTGTGTGTGTGTGTGTGTGTGTGGTCTTCATCTCGCTTCTAAAATACAAAGTTGATTACTAAAAGTGTCAATGACATAACAGTAAGATGATTAAAAGTGACAAAATCTCTTACGGTATATGTCAGTAAGTACATGTGTATCTAACAAGCATAATTACATATTTAAGAAAGACTTCCATGGGTGATTGGTAGAGATGACAACGGGTGGATCAGAGACAGTTGTAATAATGTAATATTTAGGGTTTATTCTGTAATATCTCATAACTCTGTTTTATTATAAATATCAGGCTAAGGCACCTCAATAGGGCAACCCATTATTTCCCAATTCTATTTTCTCATATGGTATCAGAGGCATAGGGTTTATTTTTCCAATGGCCGATCATTCTCCTTCAGCACCGCCTACTTCTGCAGCCGTGAGTAAATCTTCAGCGGTCATGGCGCCCTCCTTCCAGGTGCAGCCACTGCCGACCTCTGGTAATCCAGCCGTCACCTTCGGCTCCATCTCCCTCGAATCCGGGTCCAGCAGCAGTCGTCCCCAGCCCTCCAGTATCACTGCATCGATTTCTTCTCCGCTTGCAGCATCTCTAGCGCAGCGCATCAGTTCAATTCCACCCTTGGGTTCATTCCAGTTGTTCAACATGCCCGACCCCTTCACGTGGACACCTACACCAACACTGGAGCCGCCTCCTACTTTCTCGCCACCTCCTAATTTTGGTGGGCAGACATCCCTATTTTCGGGTCCCACACATTCTGGACAGGTTGGAATTCAACCTCAACCGGCAATAATACAGACCACTCCATCAGGTGCTTCGTCCCATTCATACTCTTTATCTGCTTTAGTGTCACAGTTAACATTCTCAACACCCAACGTGACTAATATTGTGACCACACGTTTATCTGCTGTTGAGGATTATTTGCCATGGCGCAATCAATTTGAGTCCTTCTTAGTATCTCACAGTCCTTTTGGGATACTAGATGGCTCAATTCAGGTGCCTTCTTCCACTGTTTTGGACTCGGCCAGACGTGAAATTCCTAATCCCGACTATCATCATTGGCTTAAAATTGATCAAACTATACGGTCTTGTCTTTTTGTTACCCTTGGAAGGGATGTTTTGATGGAGGTTTATGACCTAAAATTTTCCCACTTAGTATGGGAAAGATTAAAGTCTCGGTTTATGTCGGCCTGTTTTGCCCGGTCTATTGAATTGAAGCGTTTATTGTCTCATATAAAAAAGAAGGATTCTCAAACTATGGACCAATATCTCTTGGAGATTAAAATCATTGCAGATTCACTTGCGCTCATCAATTCACCAGTTAGCAATAAGGACCTACTGGAATATGCTATTTTGGGACTTGGCTGTGACTATGAATCTCTTATTAACACTATCAACTACTGTCCGGGTGAAGCTACCTTGGAAAGCTTGCGGCCATTGCTTCAGGCCCAGGAGCAACGCGATGCACTTTTGCAGGCTCAAGAGTTACCCATTATTTCCCAATTCTATTTTCTCATAAGTTGTACATTTAATCATACTCGCTCCGTTGAGTAATTCCGTTGCCCTGTAATCGTCTCATTACCTAATAAGTAATTTTTATTCAAATCATATCTACCCCAACGGGTAACATATATAAATGTGGGTAACCGCTTTATTAAATGAGTCATTGATATTTTAATATTAGTGTATGGCCCAACGGGTAACAAATATCTTTTCTATACTCTTTTATCTTTTTATTTTTTTCTTATATTTTTATGTTATTGTTATGTTTTTATTATCTTTACCTTATCTTTTTTATATTATTTCCCCCCATATCTTTCTTCTCTTTTTAGCACTGATATCATGGATTGATTCATGTCAGTCGACCCCAAATTCTTTTGGGATTAAAGCTTGGTTGTTGTTGTTGTTGGATTAATATTTTAATATAAAAATTAATATTTTAAAAGGCAAAAAATAGAATCGTCTAGACGACTCTAGAAGTCAGACGCCACTTAAAAAGTTCGTATATCTACTAAACCTATATTAATTTGAACCTATAAATACTTAAAGTGTAAAGTAATTAATCACAAAAAAAATATTAATTAATAATCAAACCAGACTATTAATATATACTTGTATTATGAACCTTCATTGATATAGTATAGTTAGTACATCTATTATCCATATATACACAATGAAAAGAGAAAAATATCATCTTGTATTAGTTGTGAGATATATAATAGATAAAAATGTAATAAAAATATACGCAGTAACTAAGAATAAATGGGACGGGTATATGACGGGTAATGGGACATACATGTTTAAAACTGTAACTGCTCCATTACGTGTAAAAAAAGAACGGATGTTCCCCACTGTGTACCCGTTACCCGATTAATGCGATTTTCTCCATTTTGACCGTGGCGGTTCAGTGCGGGTATGAGGGATATCCTTCGGATCAGTCACAATAGTGTTTGGTGTATGATAATAGTACTAATTAATTAATTTTATTTGAAATGTTCATTTTTTGGTATGAATTTGTAGTAGTATAAAATATGTGTTTCACCTTTTAATTTACTGGAAATTACCCACATGGTCTACTTTTATGTTCCGCATATCACTTATGTCTCAAATGTTTTTCCTTTTCATTTTTAACTTTTGTGTTTTCAATCATTTTTATTTATTTCACTTTTAAACTATCCTTCTTGTAGCTTCTTCCTCTAGGCTTATTCCATAATCACGTTTCTCTTCAGCTTATCCCTGTAACCATTTGAGAGAGTAGTCGAAAGGCCGCCCATAGATTCTCCTTCCACCTCCTAACATTCTACTTCGATCTTCACTCTCCTCTCTTTTCTACAATCCTCCGGCTCCGGACTCTGTGAAGCATCGATG